GCATATTATAGAGCCAATTGGATAAATAATGCAGCTATAATTGTGTGGGTGTGTTGGTATGGATGTCAGTGTGGTTTGTATGCGTGTCATAAAAAAAATTGTGCGTGTGTGTTCTTGTAATATTTGAGAAAGAAAAACTCGACTGCAAATCACAAATCCAACCACTGTGTGCACCAGCGGAGTTTTGCTGGCATCTATTGGGGAAAATGTGGTACTGCGTGCGCCCAAACAAAATCTTACTGAAAGCTCATTTTTTGAGATACCAACCTCAAATTTGGAACACTACTTGTTTAGGCCCAAGCTTCACATTTTTATGACCGTTTTTTGACATGGACATTTTTGTCCACTATGGACCTATATGTAACTTTTTTTAATTGACGCACAAGGGTTTAAAAAAATGTGATCTTCATAATGTAGTGTTGATGGATCTGAAAATACAAGACGTTTACAAAATAAAAACCTTTTAATGTATAGGCCCTAATATATCAGTAAGAAGGAAAATTGAAGTCAGTATTGTGAAGGATCAGCCCTTGGGATGTGCCTGTAGTTTATAATCATCTGGTGTATTTGTTGTTTGTCGTGAGCACAGAGTGGACAGAGCTCCTGAGCACCACAGTCAAGGCTCTGAAAGCGGGGCAGGTCGTGGCCGTTCCCACTGACACCATCTACGGTCTGGCCTGTGTGGCTCAAAACTCTGTGGCCGTCAGGAGAGTTTATGATATCAAAGGAAGGAATGGAGACAAACCTCTAGCCATCTGTGTCGGAGAAATACAGGACATATACAGGTTAGTTCACAGTTCTCAGATCAGTTTACTGAAACAACACTGCTGTTGAGAGGTTCGGGGTCAGTAAGATGTTTTGTTATTGTTTTTTTCTTTCTTTTATTCTGTAATAAGGCATTAAATTATTAAAAACTGCAATTGCAGATATTTTATAATGATACAAAAGTTCTTTTGAACATTCTACATCAAAGAATCCTGAAAATGTCTCAGTTTCCACAATTTTTGGCAGCACAACTTTTTTTCAACATTGATAATAATCAGAAATGTTTCTTGAGCAGCAAATCAGCATATTAGAATGATTTCTGAAGATCATGTGACACTGAAGACTGGAGGAATGATGCTGAAAATTAGGCTTTGATCACAGAAATAAATTACATTTTAGCATAGAAAACAGTTCTTTTAAATTGCATTAATATTTCACAATAAAGCTGTAGTTTTATAGTTATTTACTGTATTTACAATATACTTTCTACTGTATTTTTGATCAAGAGACTTTCAAAAATATTAGAAAATTGTACCATCTCATTTTTTTTTTTTAATAGTAGTGACATTGACATTGCACTGTGGTGATTTGACTGCAACAAATATTTTAAGTGACTTCATATGCACTTATGGAATATATATCAAAGTATCATGGTGATAGAGTGACAGTACAGTATTTGTTGCAAGGCGGTTCTGAATGCTTTCAGATTCTGTAAGGTGTCTGTGAAGGAGGAGCTTCTCCGAGATCTGCTGCCTGGACCTGTTACACTAGTTCTGGAAAGATCCTCCACACTGAACGGAGACCTCAATCCTTTTACCAAGGTTTGCTTTCGCTATTCTCTGTTTGCTTGAATATATACCCCTTGTGAAAGAGAATACTTGAGCATACTTTAAAGAGCACTTCTTAAGAAAGTAATATACTTTAGGTGAGAGCTGAATGGAATGTATTTGAACATATAATTGCATGTTATTTACAATTAGTAAAGTTTAAATTTATATTAAATGCAATTAGTTGAACTTTTTGACCCACTTAATTAGAACTTAAGTACATTTTCATATGTAATTGTATAATTATTTATCTTTGTAATATGGTTAAAGTGTCACTGCTGAATGTACTGACAAGCATTTATGATAAACTAAAATATACTTTAATGACATTTCTATTGAAACTTGTCATGTATTTAAATATATTTGTAATTTCACATTTTTGTAATGAAGCTGTCTGGTTGGTGCATTTAAAATATTACCTTTAAATGTCAAATACACAAAATTACAAATTATAATCAAGTACTTTTCATGTGCTTTAGTATGTTGTTCAACACATCAAAATAAGTGTACTTCATTAAAGCACAACAAAAGATTATTAAAATATTGATTTGAAATGTACCTTAAACCTTTCCATTTGACATTATTACATTATGCACAAAGTGTACTTAAGTGTGTTAAGAAAATGGTATGTACTTTTAAAATCTGAAGTACACTACAAGTGCACATTTAATACAATGAAGCACACTTCTTTTTATGTGTGTAGATCTCAGAAGAAAGACAACAACAGAGGACAGTACTGTGTCATTTAATGTTTTGTTTGCTGTAGCTCATAGGGGTTCGTGTTCCAGACCATCCGTTCATGAGGCGTCTCTGTCAGATGTGCGGCGAGCCGCTTGCTCTCACCAGTGCTAACGTCAGCGCACAAACCAGCTCAGTTGCTGCTAACGTAAGTACAGAACTCAGTTATTTCTAAATGGGCCACAGTGTGTGTTTGACGTGTTGGTGGTTTTCTGCAGGAGTTTGAGGATTTGTGGCCCAGTCTGGCTGTTGTGGTGGACGGTGGCCCGATTGGAGATAAAAGTCGTTTGGGTTCAACTGTAGTGGATCTGTCTGTGTGCAGCAGATACCGTATAATCAGACCGGGATGGTGAGCAATTCGCAACCATATTAACATTCATACATACACATTCATAAAAGTGCTTTGCATTATTTATTCTAAATGTTGTCAAAATGGTGTGTGTGTGTTAGGGTTGTGACTGTGAGGAAATTTTCCCACCGGTTAATCGACGTGTGACAACACCGATAATACTGGTATCACCGTGGGGACGGGGGCGTTCCCTCTTTTCCTCGCTTTTCAATAGCTTGTAAAAGCGGCGTGTTAGTGCGTGTGTGTGTGTATGTGTATGTATATATATATATATATATAATTAGTTCAATAACAAAAAGGGGGTTTCAAGCAATAATAAAATAACGGTTTAATACAGCATGAATTTTTTTCCGCACATTAGAATATGTCCTGTTCAGGTCAGAGAAAAAAAATGATATGTTACATTTTCCCCATGATTTACATAAGACACCCACTAGAATATCAATGTAACGATATTTTACGTACCAAAAAATCTTGTCAGTCATATTTAGAACAAGAATCATTAGATGACATTAAAAGATTCAATTAAAGGGGTCATATGATGAATAAAGGTTTAATACAGCATAAATTTTTTTTCCGCACTTTAGAATATGTCCTGTTCGGGTTCTTTTCTTTTTTTTCTGAGAGAAAAAAAATGATATGCTACATTTTCCCCATGATTTACATAAGACACCCACTAGAATATCAATGTAACGATATTTTACGTACCAAAAAATCTTGTCGGTCATATTTAGAAAAATAATCATTAGATGACATTAAAAGATTCAATTAACTCTTAAATGCATTCCACGGGTCTTTAGCGACCCGGGAAGTTAGAAATCAACTTTCTTAGTATTCCTCAATCTATTAATTATAAACAATAGAACAAGAAAAAAATTGTAAAATATAAAAGAGTGCCTGTTTTCTGATTAATTTTGTACAAAGTGTATAGGGTCACTAGAGACCCAAGGTATGTAAATGTGTAAGTATTTTTCCTGTGCGACTATATTTACATATCTGATGACTCAATGTGCAATGCATCTTTTTTCCTCAAGGTGGCACTGTTTGATACACAATGATAACGTGACGTTTCACTCATAATTACCGCAGGCATAAAACAAACGAATATCATCATGGTTTGAATGGCTTTACTGCAGAGCAATTACTATACGCAATGAAATATAAATGTCACTGCCATTTGATGCTGGATGTGGTGAATAAGCTGCCAGTGATCAAAATATATGAAGTAATTGAAAATGATAGTTTTGAGAATAGGTTGAGATCGTGAATATGAGGCAGATGCTGAATGTACAGTGGAAGTGCGCTCTGACGATGACAGCGATGGTTAAATCATCTGCTCAAATTGAACCCTTTTAAGTTTCAAAAGGTAACGAAATATGCTTTATTTTATTCTTCTGTAATTGTTCTTAAAATATCAAGAAAGTTTTTTGCTATTGCAGCAGTTAGAGATCCATCCGTGCTGGATATATAGGTCCGGGTCGCTAAAGACCCGAATATATGTAATAATGATTGGCGAAACATTCATGCATTTAAGGGTTAAAGAATTTGCCACTGACGATTCAAACGTGAGTTTTGAGCAGTGTAGAGTAGCGCTTGTTGTTTGTCATTTCTCCGGTGAATATGAGGCAGATGCTGGATGTACAGTGGAAGTGCGCTCTGACGATGACAGCGATGGTTAAATCATCTGCTCAAATTGAACCCTTTTAAGTTTCAAAAGGTAACGAAATATGCTTTATTTTATTCTTCTGTAATTGTTCTTAAAATATCAAGAGTTTTTTGCTATTGCATCAGTTAGAGATCCATCCGTGCTGGATATATAGGTCCGGGTCGCTAAAGACCCGAATATATGTAATAATGATTGGCGAAACATTCATGCATTTAAGGGTTAAGGATCACAGTGCGGCCCCTTTATCTTTACCACTATCCTTCAAACCACGAGGTATTATCCATTTGTCAGTTTTCAGACGTTTTTAATCATTTAAAATATAATAACATTTAGTCATTTTGCAGACGCTTTTATCCAAAGGGACTTACAAATGAGTTAATTTAGTATGATCACTTATTCTTTTAATATATACAGGTCTGAATAATTGTTTCAATTTTACATAAATCTGTTACACACCATATTTTGACATATTTTCTTTGATCCAGTACTGATCAGTTGACCTCACTAGTCTACTAGTCATTTAGTCAACCATCTTGGTACATCCCTACTTCAAATCAAATATGGGCCTGTCTCTTGTCTTGTCTTGCAGTGCTCTCTCTGCTACAGTTCAGGTACTTGAAGGCAAGTATGGACTGCTGGAGGATCCTGTCAACCAATGAGATTCAAGCGCAGCACAAACCCACTGTAGGTCAAAGTCAGTCCAGAGATCAGACCGAGCTTCTGAAGTCTGTGCGGTTCTCAGTAATGAGGGTCTGACTTTCTCTGCTTTTTCACCTCTTCTTTTCAGAGAGTTTTGGGATTGGTGATTCTGATCTGAATGTGATCATCTCAGTCTATTGAATCCTCAAACTCCATTTATAAGGTTCTCATGTTAAAGACGCCCATTTTTCTTACTCAGTCAGACTTTTAGTTTCTAAAGAGTGTGTTTAGATGTTCTTTACAGTGGAATAATTCTCCTGTTGACATGACCTCCACACCACTCAGATGCCTTTGGGGATACATCGACTATTATGTTGGGAATATTATAGTGAAAACTGTAAAACTTGATTGAGTTGATTGCTTTGTTACAGTAATAGTTTAGACTCAAGGATTTTGTTTTTGTTAATTGGGATTTTATTTATTGCCGTTTTAAACGTTTTCAGGGGTCACTTGCTCTCTGGCATTATATTTTATAAAATGAAAACAAGCTGAATCTGATGTCAAGAACTTTATTATTGTACTGTTTTGCATTGTGGACCAAAGCAGAGTAAATCATCTTATGCAGATGTTATGCAATAGTCCCACTCATTTGGTATTTGCAGTTAAAACATTATGTCCCTGTTGGCCTTCCATTTTATTTCATACAATTAGTAGTGCTTATGAATTAGTGGATGTTTTAGATGCCTTAATGTCTTGCCCAGCCATTGTAAATGAGGTCAAGCCATGTTTCTGTTCTTCTGAGACCTCAGCAGTCTAGGGAGAATGACTGGCTGTTTGTTTACTATCTGTGGCTGTATTCAAGGGAGATTGTGCAGCGCAAAAACTTCACTTGCTGTTATGTGAGAAATGAGTCTCTATGGTTTAGATGCTTGAAAACATTTTAACCTCCTTGGCCGGATCAGAGACGTAGTGTGCATGACATATACAGTATAGCATTGCATGTAATGGTGCGTGCAAGTCATTTCAGAAAGATTGTATTTAAGAGTTATGAAGGCATATGAATGTCACCACAAAGTCTGTGTAGGGCACAATAGATGCAGCGTCTCTAATCAAAATGAAAATGATAACTCGGTTATTTGACATGGAATCAAAGAATCATGGCAGGTGGCGAGCGACTCATTTTAATAATGGCATCGGTAACTGAATATTAAAACGCTTTAAATATCAGGGAATTGTAAACTTGTAATTTGGCAGGCAAGGGAAAAGCAACATGGAATTAAATCAAATAGAACCTTCAAAACATTATGGAAATTTTCTAGTGAAATATGGAATACATAAAACCTTTTTTTGGCATGTTGCACTAATATTCCATGTGAATGCTTCCCTTTCGGAGCAATAAAACAATCCGAAGCAATTTGTTTTCCTTGCTCAATTCACACTTTCCTTATTCAAGACCGTAAAGAATGTTAATATATATATATCAAATAAATGCTTATTCAAATCTAATAAAATGTATGACCGTTAGTAGTTTGTTGGCTTGAATACATATTTTGTTTTTATTTCGATTTCAATACTGTCCTCTGTTTTTGTCTGCGCTTGAAGACACCGCGTGTAATATTATGTGTTCTGTAGCTCATAAGTTCTCATAATGTGTAGTAGACGCCATAATCAGGGTGGTGAGTAACTCCCAGAACAAATTCATAAAAGGTCTCAAAAACAGAAGACATTTTCGAATATTTTTGTATAGTTGATATTTAGTCCATTGTTTGAAGGATGTTTTAAAGGGCCCATATTGTCAAAACTGAAATTTCCTGGCTTTTTTCATGATCTTCATACACAATATAGTCGTGAGATGCAAGAAACATGGCAAGAAATCTGTAGACGCGCCCATAACAACAAAAGACAATACTTTATTGAACCTTTTCAGATAAGAAGTGTGCGCTGCAAAAGCCAGCATTTTTGACGATCGTTTCTGTCCAGTCCGCTCGTTTTATCGCGTTTCACCACAGCTGTCGTCGGTTTTTTGTCTGGCAGTGGCAGCAGATATGCGATCAAATGTCTAATTTGAGGCTGTATTACGTCGATTCTGGCACCAAACATCACAACAAGATGATATTTTAAGCTCCTTATGTAGCCGAATCTGCGCTGGTTTGAATGGGTCGCCTCCAGTTTCCGTTTTGTTTTGCTGCCTCCAGCTAGCGCTGTGACGTCGGCTGACCCTAGTTACCTGTGGTTGGCCTGGCCGTGCGTCACTCAGAAAACAACTGGCCAATCAGAAGAGAGGCTCATGAATATTAATTAGACAGGCCAAAATCGACCTGTTCTCAGCAGAGCTCCTGAGAAAGGAGCTGTAAAAATATATTGAGATGGTTTTTGGTACTTATACCTCAAATATATATATTCTTAAGGACATCAAAACCTAAAATAAAACTCCAGTAAGGTGTAAAATATGGGACCTTTAAAAGGTGGCTATGGTTAAAGCCATTTGTGGGTTCATTTCCTAGAAAATATACTGAATTCTACCTTTCAAATAGTAAATGTACAGTAATAGAGAGGGTTTTCCTTTCTTTGTGTCAAAATGCCGTTATTAATGGAGCCCGGTGTGTACCTGATCAAAAATAAGGTAGAGAAGTTCTCGTGGAAGGTTTTGGATACAGCAGTGCATCTTTGCTCAAGCCTTTATGTGTGTGTTTAGGGCTTCAGTTCACAGACTGACACCTTGACATTGCTTTGTAGAATTTTGTGATGTTGATTTCATGGCACATCATCCGACCCTTCACTGAGTCACTCTGTGTACGCTTAACATACACACTGGTTTCAATCTGTACGATAGGTTGTTTAAAAGCCTAAAAGGACTGCTTACCCTAACTACACTGCTCACTTGACCATGTAGAAGGCAAATGTGTCTTAAACCTCTTTCCATATACCTTGGCATTGTTTATTATTGGTATATGATTTTCTAATTTACATTAGATATTATATAGCTGATACCAGTTAATAAAATTTATTTTTCACTTGTTTGCCTCAAAGTTCTTTTTATTAGTTTAAGAAAAACAACCGTTTCTTTTCATAAGATAACTCAACATCCAACACAATCACTTGCATCTTGTGCACTTTTTATGTCTTCATCCATTCATAGTATTCATTGGTATTCAGTTAATATTTTTGCTAATAAAATTTTGGTTGCACTTTTTACAATGTGTGTACTTAACTAAGAAAATACTGGGTAGTATAAGGTAACTACGTGGGATAAGGTTAGTGTAGATTCAGAGTTAGTTCCTAGTTGTTATTATACCCAGTTATTATAATAATTATTAGTAGTACAAGCTTATGAGACGTAGGACATGACTGTAAAATAAAGTTCCTTCCTTGTGTTGGTAATACTGTAAGAGGCACTACTAGTTACAGTGCCCTTCACTAATATTGGCACCCTTAGTAACCTAAATATGAGCAAAGGCAGCTGTGGAAATAAATCTGCATTGGTTATCCTTTTGATATTTCATTCAAAAAAAATTCACAAAATTCTAACCTATCATTGAAGTAAAACAATTGAAAGTGGGGGGAAAATCTCAAGATCATGAAATTGTCCAGCCATGACTTCCTGTCCTACAGGATTATAAATATGAGGAACTCCAACCAAATTCCCTTAATCATCTATCGCAATGAGTAAAACCCAAGAATATAGTTCTGATGTACAGAACAAGATTGTCGAGCTTCACAAAATAGAAAGTGGCTGTAAGAAATATGCTAAAGACTTCCACCATCAGGGCAATAATTAAGTTCCAATCAACTAAAGATGTTACAAATCTGCCTGGAAGAGGACGTGTCTATATCGCCCTAACGCAGACTTTGAGTGGCCGAAGACTCTTCAAGGATCACAGCTGGAGAATCGCAGAGATTAGTTGAGTCTTGGGGTCAGAAAGCCTAAA